ATAGGCACGCGCCACCATGCCCAGCTAATTTTTTGTATTTTTAGTAGAGACGGGGTTTCACCATGTTGACCAGGATGGTCTCAATCTCTCGACCTCGTGATCCACCCGCCTCGGCCTCCCAAAGTGCTGGGATTACAGGCTTGAGCCACCGCGCCTGGCGTTTTTTTTTTTTTTTAGACAGAATTTTGCTCTTGTTGTCCAGGCTGGAGTGCCATGGCGTGATCTTGGCTCATTGCAACCTCTGCCTCCCAGGTCTTGAACTTGATTCTCCTGCCTCAGCTTCCCCAGTAGCTGGGATTACAGGTGTCCATCACCACTGCCAGGTATTTTTTTTGGTATTTTTAGTAGAGATGGGGTTTCGCCGTGTTGTCCAGACTGGTCTTGAACTCCTGCGGACTCAAACTCGCTTGCCAGCCTCACCCGCTGAGTCCACCCAACAGCTTCACCCTAGACTTGAGGCTTCGGAAGCGGCGGGCTGGGTGGTGAGCACGACGGGGCTCTGTCCCTTTGGAACCTGACCCCCAACTCCGCTCTGTAACCGGATTTCTGGAAGCCGCGACCTCGAAGCCACCAGCCTTCTTCCTCAGTGGCCGGGCCTGGGCTCCCGGAAGCCTCGCAGCCGCCGCTCCCGCCTGCAGCGGACGCCGGAGCCGCCAGGGGGCAGCGCAGCGCGGCGGGTCCTCCCCGGCCTCCGTATTGGGGCGCGCGGGCGGGAGGCCGAGGACCTGCGGCTTCGGGGGACGCCGGCGCCCTCCCCTGCGGGGAACAGAGGCGGCTCTGGACGTGGGTTTAATGCGGACAGCACGACCGGAGGGGCGCAGAACGCGTCTCCCGGCGTCCCGGGCTCCGCCAGCACAATGTTACACCAGCGGTGACACCCGAGTCCTGCGGCGTGGAGCCCGGCCGCCTCGCTTCCGCGCCGAGGGCCCCCGTCCCCGACTTCCCGGGCTCTGTGGGCCCTGAGCTGCCGGTGATCCCGGGGTCTCCCGGCCGAGGCGGGAAGGGAGCGGGGCTCGGATGACTTGGGGTCGTTTCTCCGCCCCTGCCCCGTGGCCAGAGCCGCAGCCCGGCCCCTTCCCCTCCGGGGCCCCGCCTTCCTGCTCGCGGCCAGACAGGCTGGCCCTGGCGGGCTCTCGCAGGTCGGGGCGGCCAGGGCCGCGCTGCGGTGGCGAGGCGGACCCGGTGCGCCCACGGGGCGGCTGGAGGCCGCTGCGTCCCGGACCCACGAACAACGCTGGAGTTGCGGCTGCGGCGTCGGCTCTGGGATCTGCTTCGTCTCTTGGCTCCGGGGCTGCGGCCGCCTCCCTGCCGGCAGCCGGCTAGTCCCAGAACCGCAGCCTGGGGCGTCCCCTCCGGAATGGTGGCCAGGGCTGGCGGGGCGTGTTCGCTGCGGGACCCCCGAGCCCGACTGCAGCCGCCACCAAGCATGGCGAGGAGCAGCGTGAGCCTCTCCACACCGAGTATGGCGGGCCGCACTCGGGTATCCCAGGTGGGCACGGCCAGGGGCAGGCTCAGCACTGCGCAGGCCGCCGGTTCTGTGAGCGCAGAGAGGGGCCTCCGGTTTATGCCAAAAATGTGTCTTTTCCAACCTTCTCCTCAAGCCCTTCTCATATGCTGGTTCCTGTCTCTAATAGTGCCTAGGAGTCTCTGCCCCCAGGCACTATTAGAGACAGGAACCAGCATATGAGACAGCTTGTTCTCCCCAAGCTCAGCTGTGGGCTTCAGGGATCCGGAAGCAATCCTAAGAAGGATTGCTGGATAACCTGCCCACCCATTGGGGTGGAAGGCCAGTTGCTACCCTCATCTCCACTGTGACACTAGGAGACAAGGAACATATGTATCCAATTATTATGGATACATAATATTCATAAGTTGTACATAAGGAACATTTCGATTTCATTCTTTTAGTTATTCTGAATTATATAATAAATTATAGTCACCCTATTGTGCTCTTGGACACGAGAATTTATTCTATTTAACTGTATTTTTGTACCTGTTAACCTGTCCCTCTTTGTCCCTCCCTCCCTGCTACCCTTCCCAGTCTCTTAGCCATCATTGAGAGAGATGCCTATTATGTAAATATTTTAAAATTTTCAAAAGGAAAACACATACTTGGTAACGTGCTCTAACTGTAATGCAAGATGCACACAATGCAATCTTCTTTTTCCCTGCTCTAACTGCTGGTCTCTCAGATCCCTGCAGAGCAGGATCCTTCTAGATGCATATAAACACATTTGCCACCCTTTAGAAACACAGATGGTAGCTTATTCTATACAGTTTTGTGCTTTGCTTTTTTCATGTAACACATCTTAGAGGGATATATTCAGTGAGTACTGTAGTTCTGCCTCCTTTTTAATCCATCCTATGGATGCACCATTATTTAGTCTAGCTTATGTTGATTGCTCTGCTCTTGGTTGTCAAAGCCTCCTGAGAATGCAGAGGCACGTAAAATATATGGATTTAGGTGTGTAGGTGTGTGTGGATTAGGGGTGTAACACTGGCTTAGATGACAAAGATTGGCAGCTGAGGGACTGTTTGCTCCCTGTTCTTTCTGACCCTACAACCAGCTGCTTGCCCCTTGGCACTCTGTGTCATCAGATGTGGTGTGAAGATACTCCACCTGTCCATTGAGCTGTTCCAGAACCATTTCTGTGCTCAGAAGCCTCACCTCCGTCTCCTCACCATTCTTAGATGGATACCTCTGCTCGGCTACAGAGCAGTCTGCCTCTGTGGGGTTCTCAGTCCTGAAAGAAGCCAGCGAGGCTCTGGAAGCCTCAGGACTTTGCTGGAAGTCTCCCTTCTTAGGATTGCTTCTTGTTTAGAGCTTTTATTTTGCTGCAGTATTAACAAGAATTTAATTGAAATATAATTTTTAGTTTTCCCTTAATGTCTAGAGTGCCAAGCTGTTCTACCTTTGTGGAGTGGTGCATGGAGAATATCAAAACGAGGAAATTGACAATCTGGGCCATTTTATTACAGTTACAAAGTTTAGGCCTCTCACATGGCAAACTTCCCACCCTTATATCCTGGCAGACAGGTAAAAAGTGATTGTAAACGTTTTCTTCATGGGTCATATATTTCAAAGCTAAAAAGGCTAGAAAAAGAACAGTGATAGAATTTATTTTTTGCCTATTTGAATAGTGGGGGTAGAAGTGTAGTAGATGGATAATGTCTATTGCTCCAAGATGCTGTGTCTTTGGGAGTAAATTAATTATGAGGTATTTAGGGAAATGGGAGGACTTGGAAGCACTTAAGGCTACAGGATGTGGCCCCATCCTGTGTTCAGCATCAGTTTTCAGTGATGCTGCCTTGTGTCCATGCCCTTGAGTTCTTCATGTGTGCCTTCAGTTTCCTTCCTTTGTGCTCTTCTTCATGTCGTTTTCTCAGCCTGGAATACCCTTTTCCACCTGCCAGAAGCCACATCACATTAAAAATCCCAGAGTACAGGCTTGCCCTCTTCCAGAAAGGAATTTTCTGAATATGTTTTTCACTCTTCCCTGACCCCAGGTGGATATCATCTCCCTGTCTAGTGTCTTATGGAATGAATGTCACTTTTGGCTTACAGTGGTATGTCTGTCCCTTTTCCTCTGGTGGATGGTGAATGGTGCTTCCTTATTTCTCTATTTTCTAGTTTTCTAAACGACATGCTTAGTGGACAAGAGTGTGGTGAGTCATTGACACATGAAAGGAGGTATAGGAATTTTTGACATTCATTTCTGCTGTATGACTGAATTTCTTTTTCTAGGGTGAAAGATTTGACAAACCGAGAGAATATACAAACAAACATCAAATGTGACCAGAAGGTGTCACTCTGTGGTAAAGAAGAGCGCACTTAAAAAATCAAAGGCAGATTCACATGCCAAGTATTGTCTCGTTATTAGAACATATTAGAATTACACATAGGATTCTTGGGATGGCTTGATTTCTCAGGAAAACAGAAATATGACCAAACAAGGGAAGATGCCCTTGCTGGACGTTTGAAAAGTAACCCAGCGATGTGTAGGCCTGCAACCGTGTTATCAAATCCGTCTTCTTCTGTAGCTAGAGGGACACCGTTCCGGTTTGGTGCAGAGCCCTTCTTCAGTGAAATGTTTTAACCCCTTGGACTGTGGATCGTTTTTACCCCCAAGTCCACACTAGATACTTACTGACTTGTCAGCAGAAGCTGGCTCTTTAAAAGGGGACTGTCTTCTAGGGTAGGAGACTTTGCTGAGAATGATGTCAGTTTCTTCCCAGACCCTTGTATCTTCCTGAACAACAGAAGAAGAAGTTCTGTTTAAATGAGAAGGAGAAGCTGGTTTATGCACCTCTTCCTGGAGTTGGGGGTGTGCTGTATGACAAAGACACTGTCTGTGTTGACCTTGGTGGCAGCCACAGTTTTGGGGCATCAGTGAGACAGGATTCATTGCTCTGAACTCTCATTCTTCTTTCTGAATCTATTTTTTAATCACAAAAATTAATGTACTCAGCTTTTATTTGTTGAAGACTTTTCTTTTGTACTTATAATAAAGGCCTGAATGCATATTGTAAATCTATAGAATTAAAAGAATACTTTTTTTTCATTGTACCAAGCAGAAGAGTCTTGTCCTCCATGCCTCCTCGATCCATGGCCCCAGCATGAGCACTGCTGCCAGTGTGGCGCCTGCACGGCCCGTGCCTGTTTCTACAGAATCAGTGTGCTTTCCGGCTCTCGTTGGTCTTTTTCTTTTTCTCATTCACAGTGGTCTCCTCTTCTGTATTTTAAAGTGGGTTTCAAATGTTTATTTGTCAGTTCTGAAGTTTACTAGCATTGGGTTAAAATCTGGGTTACTTTAAAATGTTAGAAAAGCTACCATTGTTATACCATTGGAAGTGAGGTTTTTCTAGCTAGCTGTTTAGAGTATCAGGTTATATACTCCCAGAACACTGTAAAAGTTTAACGGAGATGGGGATCCATTTCAAGCTTTGTTGTGAAGATTTTCTTCTGTGCTTTTTGAGACATGAAGAAAGGTTCTCAGGAAATGTGTCTAAGATAATTTTGAGAAACTGAGTGAAACCAGTGTCTCTCCAGGATCTTTGTGCTTTCCTCACATACCCTTTCTTGGTGGTCTCGACAGGACGAGGTGGGGTCCACTCATGAGCTGGTCCAGAGTCTCGTCTCCACCCACTCCATCATTGATACCAAGATGGCTTCAAGTCGAGTGACACTGTTTTCTGATTCCAAGCCACTTGAGTCAGAGGATATAGATAATCAAGGGTAAGTCTGCTTTTTTTCTATTTTTAATAAAAAGGTAAATTACAGAAGATGTATAATTCTGCCATCAGAACACATTTTGGTGGGATTCATTCTAGGCTGATTTGTTTTTCTTTGTGTGTGCATGTGTCTGAGGGCTCTTCACTTACCTGACATTACAAGGAAGTATTTACTTGAAATAAAATACAGGATGCATTTTTTAACAGCCCTTAAATATTCTTCAAATACCATGCCATTTTCCATAGGTTGCTTTTTGTTTTTTAAGGGACTTGAGGCCACTTGGCTTTCTTTTGGTGGCCAAAACAATAGAGCAGAGCCAGAGAGTTTGTGGCTGTCCAGAAGCCACGTGCCTTGGCTCTGAAAGTTTTATTTAGATTATGTTGTACTATCTCCTGTGGGTAGGTTTCCACTGATGTGTGGCTTATGTGAATTCTTTTTCAGTCTGGATTGGAGATTTGTATGCCTTTATGCATAGTGGATGTTTGCAAAACATTGGTTTTGTTGTATTGATTTATGACTCCCAGTAAAATGTATCTGAAAATTTTGAGATTATCTAGTATGTAATTTGTTATACTGTGCGTAAACTACCTAGCACAGTGCCTGATAGATACGAAGTGTTCGCTGAAAGATCACTCTTTTATAATGAGTGTTATGAGCTGTTTTCATTTTTGCATATCCTTCTAGTCATCCTTGTCTACAAGAATATTGCCTTCTAATACAGTTACAGTTTAAATACATAATTTTATTTCTATATTCTGAGCATTTTCTTTTTCTATACAGTCTTTATGTCATCATTATTTTGTTATTATTGGTGTATTCTTTTTGTTTGTTTTTGAGACAAGGTCTCACTTTGTCTCCCAGGCTGGCGTGCAGTGGCATGATCTTGGCTCACCGCAGCATTGAACTCCCAGGCTCAGGTGATCCTCTTGCTTCAGCCCCCCAAGTAGCTGGGACTGCAGGAGTGTGGGAGCTTTCAGCCTGTCTCCTGTGTCCTTTCAACCACTCCTGGCTGAATTTTTTTTAACTGTTTTCTAGAGAGGAGGTACCACTATGTGGCCCAGGCTGGTCTAGAACTCCTGGGTCCAAGGAATCCTCCCGCGTTGGCCTCCCAAAATCCTTGGATTAGCCACGCCTTTTATTGCTGTATTCTAACTTACCCATCTCTTATTGTATGATTTTTAGTTGTTCCTAATTTATGTTTTTATAATTTTATGTATTGTGCTATGTTAAACAACTTGATGCAGTTGTGTTTCATCCTGCGATTTTAACCTCCTGATGATTCTTCGTTATCAGTTATGGCACTGGTGACTTAAAATGGAAGTTCTTCCTCCGTCAGTCCTCCTACATTTGTTAGCTGGCCTTTTTAACAAAGAACTTTCACTTCTCCCCTTTATTTCAGTGTCACTGGTGACTAATGCACTGGTGTTTTATTCCACGAGTTATTTTCTATCACTGTCATTATTCTTTCTAATGCCTATGCTGTCCCAGATTCGGCTGCGGGAGCCTTCAGCCTGTCTCCTATGTCCTTTTAACTGTCTCTGTTAGTCTTTGAGCATGTCTTACTTTCTGACAGAACAAGAGGATCCAGGCTTATTTTATCTTCTTTCTACTTTGGGCCTGGAATTAGCCATTTCTCTTAAGGATCATGTGTTTTTAGCTTAGAAGTTGATGAGATTTCCAAAAGATCTAGAAAACACTAACATCTTTTTTGAGCAATTGTTCTCTAAAATTAGATTAGTCTTTTTAAAGGGTTATTCATTTATTCTCTCTCTATATTTTTTGAAGTGTGGTATTAGGGAACCATGCCTGAGTTTGCGTATTTACTCTTCCAATGTTTATCAGATCATTTTTTACCTCTGCTATGTCATCCTAAACAATTCTTCGACATTTTCTATTTCTTTGTATTTTCATTGACTATATTGTCATTTCTAGATTTGCTGATGAACCTGCAAATTGAGTTCTTTTGCATTTCCTTGGTAATAATGTAGGCTGTTGATGCCAAAGGAAGAAAAACAAATGGACTTGAAACTAATCGAATGCGTCAGAAAGCCATTTTTGCAGATGAAGATGGATCTGGAGATAGTGGTGATGAAGAAGATGAAATTTCTGAAGGTGACAGATTGGAAACCATCTTTAGTGATGAGGAAGCAGAAGAGTAGGAAAATGCTGAAGTGACTGGTCACTATATGACTGCTAAGGGCATCAAACGAGGGAAATTTGAGGAGTTGGAAGAAGCCAGTGAAGTAGATTTGCCAGCATTTGCTGTCCGTGACAATGAGCTTGAGAGGAGCTCAGCAGAAGGGAAAGTGGAATAAGCTGGAGAAAGCAGTGAGGAAGAGGACTGCACTACAGGAGAGAGGGGCATTTCAGGATCAAAGACTGCTGGAGAAGGTAGTAAAGCAGAGCTGTCACCAGCTAATCCCCGGAGTGACCCTGTAAATCTGGAGAAGTCTTTGTCGATGAAGAAAGCAGCCCTCACCTCTTTGTTTCTGGGCATTGCACAGCTGATGAGGCATTTGCATCTGAAGAGGAATCTGAAGAAAGCTCTGCACTCAGTGCAGAGGAAGAGGACGTGGAAAATGAGGACCCTTTTAGGAAAAAGGTTTCAGAGCCTTCTCAAGTGGGCAGTGGTCAGAAACTGGGGTGAAGAAACTTAATTGGTGAGACCAGTGATGTAGAAGATTTACTCAAAGAAGAAGATTGCAAGGAAGAGAAGAATGATTCCACAGAAGCCTCGGGTAAGCTTAAATTGAGTTGGTTGCTGCTATGAACTTGACTCTCAAAATGGTACCCAAAGGAATGTCTACATTTGGGGGTCTGTTGATTCTAAGATTTTGGTAACTCTTGAAATGCTGCATTGTGGATGGATCTCGGGGGAGGGGAGACAGGTAAACAATTCTAACTGGTGGTTGGCATTCGTCATTTCAGGTGCCCTCAAGTGGAAGGAAGACCTTTCCAGAAAGGCGCTAAGGCTTTTCTGAGGCAGCAACAAGCAGCTCCAAACCTCCGAAAGCTTGTTTATGGGACAGGTAAAGAATTCTGGTTCAGAGCTGGAGATGTTTCAGTTTCTCTGATTATTTTCTGAAAAGGAGATAGGGAATTGGTTGGAGTATTGGGCTGGTATTGTTGACATCCGTTATTACTGGCCATCACATTTCCTATTTGGCAGATGTCTTTAATCATCAGCTTACGAGGACCACACATTGGTCTTGTGAAGTACACTTCTGGGTTTGCTGTAAAACTCGATGCAAGTCGTGTCCATCGCATCATGTCATGTCCCTTTTTAAAAAGTCATTCATGAGAAATTTTTTGCAGAATTTAGTGCCAGAAAAATATTTCTGCCCTTAAAAGTATTTGTTTGTTCCTTTCTGAGAATGAGAACCCTGTATAACACATTCGGTTCTTCCTTTTGCCCTTGTCCTCTGATTTTACGCTTTGTTAAGCATACCTATATGTTCTTTGCGGTAGAATTAATGCCAAAATAAACATAGAGTGGTGAACTTTACATTGTGTTCCCTGGTTACTGCACGATGAGATCAAGGCCACATGGTGAGACACTTGGGCTCGGCACACTGAATTGGGAGGGTTGTTGTGTACTGTTCGTTCAGCTTTTGTCTAGCTACTTTCAGTGATGAGTGGCTCAACACCCTTTAGAGCTCTTCTTTAATAATCAAAAGCTCTGCTTTTAAATGTCCCTTCCCTCCTTGACCCCTAATATTCTAAGTCCTCCTCAACTGCTTAGCTGCTGCCATGCAGGAGTGCAGGAGCCCCCACACATGTAGAGCAGTAGCTTCCTGGCCTCTCTTTACCTGTAGCTGACCTGCCCTCTCAGTGCCTGACTCATATGTGGCCATTGCCATACCCACCACAGACAGAGGCCCTTGGTTCCTGAGTTGGAAGAATCGTGGCCTAACTGGATGAAAACAATGAGTCCTCTAGGGCTGTAGGTTTTGTTCTCACTTTTCTCATGGTGTTCTCTTCAGTGACAGAAGATAATGAAGAAGATTATGATACCTGAGAAGAGCTTGGAGGGTTGTTTCATGTCAGCCAGCCTGACAGAGCGTGTAAGCACAAGGCTGACTCTTTGGACTGCTTCAGATTGCTTGTGGAGTTGCCCCGTGACTGGGATTTAGAGGAGGTAAGGCTGGATAATACGTTTGATTTATTAGAGAGTTGTTCTAGAATAAGATTATCTGATGTCAATATTCCGTACCTGTTGTTGGTTTCTTATTTTTATAGGATGACAGATCATCCTCCCAGGTACTGTGGTGGGCACTTGATGCATTCTAAGCAATAACACATTCTGAGTTTAGTTAGTCCATTGCACAGCCCACGGAGGACAGGTTCAGCTTCCAGTGTGAACAGTAGCGCCAATCTTTATTTTGAAGCATCACACATACATTTTTATACATCTGATGTATTTTGTGTCTTATCACTAGGATGTATGTAGCATCCCTGAGTTAACATTTATAGTTTCTGCTATTTGTAAGCATCCAGAAATGTGTGATACCTGTAAATGTTCTTCCTGCAGCTCACCACTTTGTAGTCACACTGGAATTCATTCAGTACTCAAACGCCACACAGCTTACCCTCCTCTTAGGCCTTTTCTCTTTCTCTCTCTTTTTTGAGTCATGGTCTGGCTCTGCATTCCAGGCTGGAGTGCAGTGGCACGAGTGTACGGCCCAATGCAGCCTCGACCTCCTGGGCTCAAGGGATCTTCCCACCTCAGCCGTCAGAGTAGCTGGGACTATAGGCACGAGCCACTAGGCCTGGCTGCTCTTTGCATTTTTTGTAGAGACAGTGTTTCACCATGTTGAGCTAGTCTCAAACTCTAGGCTAGAGTGATCTTCCTGCCTTGCCCTCCCAAGAGTGCTGGGATTACAGGAGTGAGCCATTGCATCACCCCTTTTCTCTATATTCTCTTCTGGAATGTTCTGATCTTCCAAAGGCTGCCTTCTTTTTTGTCAATTCAGTTTGGCTTAGGTGTCACTTCTCACAGAGGCCCAATTGCTCTCATCCTGCCTATTGTAATTTTCCAGGTAACACTGAATGCTCTTTATGAGATTTCATTTAACCGTTTTTTAATGGTGAAATTTAATACAGATAGAGAAAACCAAGAAAAACGAATTGTTTAACTTAATGGGTTGCCAGAAGGTGAATACCCCTGTACTCAGCACTCAGGCTGGGAAATCAAGCTTTGCTGCCTGATTGTGACACCAGCCAGGGTCCTCTTCCTCCCTGTGGAAGGAGGTGTGGTCCAGCCTCTTGTGGCGACTCTTTTGTTTTCTTCCTGGTTTCCTCTTCCGTGCTTCCATAAGCATCGTAGTTTACTTTTACCTGATTTTTATTACAGACTTTCCATCTGTCTTTTCAAATTTGTAGTCAACAATCTTCCTTCCTATTTCTTTTTTTTTTTTTTTATTACATTTTATTTAAGAAACCAAGTCGTTGGTCTGTAGAGTTTCTCATGTTCTGGATTTTGTGGATTGCTTTGCATCCCTCTGCAGTGTCTCAGGCCCTCCTGTATTTCCTGTGAGTGTGTACGGAGCATTACTGATAGAAATTCTGTGATGACTGGAATGTATATCCGAGGTGTGGGTTGTGGCTACTTGTGGCTACTGGGTACTTTAAATGTGGCTAGTGAGACAGGAGAACTAATTTTTAAGTTTTATTTAATCTTAATTAAGATGAATTTAAATAGCCACATGGTTGTATTTACCTGATGGATGAAACATGTAGCAGTTGGACAGGATTTAAATTTGATTTTTATTTTTCAGCAAAACTTCTTCCCAGGTGGTGGTGTTTTCCTATTGGGAGGCATATAAAGACAGGTTGTGTCCTTTTAAAGGCATGAGATGGAGAGATGGTCTAATCTGCCATACGCTGCCATACACTGGGGCAGTGGCGAGTGATTTGAACTTCATGGCATAGATGGAAACTTCCAGGTTCTCTTGGTGGTAGGCAGAGGCCTCAGTTTTTAAGAAACTCCCCAGCTTCCACCCTGCCAGTGAGGATGTTGATTGAGGTGATTGCTATCAGTTTTAAGTAGAAAAGATTGTTTCTTGATGTTGAATTTCAGGTAAGGAATCTAGCTCCTGCATATCCTAATGGTGGTGCTTGGGCTGAGACAGGTCTAGAGAGCACGGTCAGAAAAGGGGCTCAAGGAAGTAGCTGTGAAAGACCCCTAGGGTGTTTTCTGCTCCCCTCTCTGCAAATCCCCTGGAGGGAGATCCCATTAGTCACTATGGGGGTGTGTGTGTGTGTGTGTGTTCATCACTTATTTTATTTTCATTTTTGTTTTTCTGTATAAAGTCTGCAGACTTTCCAACAGTACCTTGATGTTTCCTGAAAGCAGAGCCGATGCGCACACTCTAGGGCCTGAGGCCTCAATTTGGTGGTATTTACTCGGGACTGGTGTATACCTACAAACTGTGTGATGGGGTCAGGCCAAAGAACACTAGTTTCTGTGTGAAAAAGACATTTCGTTCAACTGGATGACAGGCCAAGTCTAGTGGAGAAAAGGTCTACTCTGCCATAGCATGGGGCAGCAGCCTGCAGTTCAGAAGACTGTTGTGTGTCTGGAAGTTTCCAGAGCTTCCAGTTGCTGGCAGAGGGCCAGAAGGTAGGACGCATTTGTCTGCAGATCAGAGGAGGAGGTCTGTTCACCCCGACGTGATGTTGGCCATGTGTGGGCCCTTGAGTTTTCAGGGCTGGATGTCCTGACTGACACTGCCATAGGAGGGTATAAGAGGCTGAGAGTGACGCAACTGTAGGCTGTGGGGATGATGTTCACAGGAAGCCTCCCTGCTGCCTGTGGCAAGAGCAAAGAGTGAAATGCTTGGGGCTGGGAAGAGGCAACAAAAGCCCACAGAGTCTATTCTCAGTTCATCTGCCATCCTAGTCCTATCATGGCCTAACATCCTTAGTTACCGATTGCAGAGGAGATTCTGCACATTTGTGTTCATGTGGCCTTGGATGTAGACAGATTCACATTGGTGCCCCTGGCATCTGTGCCTGCATCTGCAGTTTCAATGGGCTCAGGAACAGGCTAAAGGGCCTCCAAGCTTCCTCCAGTTTCCTTGTATATGCATGTGAAACATACTCTCTTGACCTGGGTTTTCCTGCCTTTTCTTGCCAGTTGGGTCAGATCTAGCTTATTAACCAGTGTTTTTTGAGCTTTAATAGAACTGGCTCAGACCAGTTGGAGACCTGAAAAGGGCTATGTGATAGACGTTTTTTTAGAGTAGTTTCAAATGTGCAGCCAAATGGAGTACAGAGCCCAAAGTTCCCATGTGCCCTCAATTCCTGTGCACTCTTGGGTCACTCCACTAACAACCTCCTCTACCAGAGTAAAATATTTGTTATAGTCATGAACTTATACTGACATGTCATCACCACCCAGAGTGATACCCTTGGTGACACATATTCTGAGGATTTGGAGAAATGTGTAACGAGTATGTGTATAATGAATGTATCATCATAGCTGTTATATCCTGCAGTATATTTTCACTGTGGTAAGTATCTTGTGCTCTATTTATTTATCCTCTCTTTTCCTAACCACTGCAAACCACTAATCTTTTCAGTCTCCATAGTTTTGCATTTTTCTGAACGTTGTGTTCTTGGAATCATAGAGCAGATAGCTTTCCAGATTGGCTTCTTTCAGTTAGTAATGTGCATTTAACGTTCCTCAGTGTCTTCTGATGGCTCAATAGCTCAGTTCATTTTAGAAGTGATATATTTTATTTTGTAAATATACCACAGGGTTATTTATCAGTTAAGCTACTGAAGGACAACTTAGTTCTTCCTACGTTTTGGTAGCTATTTTAGAAATTGCTATAAACATCTGTGTTCAGGTTTTTGTGTGGACATCAGCTTTCCGGGCATTTGAATAAAGACCTAGGGAGTGCAATTGCCAAATCACATCGTAAGAGTATGTGTAGTTTTGTAAGGAACTGCCCATATTAGGAGAGTCTTTACGATGGTAGAGGAGAACATGTTAACATACTGAAGAATCAGTCCACTGAAGGAGATAGAACTTGAGGATCTAGAAAGAATGATGTGACCATGATAGGTGTTAAAAGGTACGATTAGGCACTCTGAAACATTAGGAGGTATATTTGCGCATTCAGAAATTTCAAACCAGGCAACCCCAGGCTACAAGCAGCTCAGAGCTCCAAGGAGAGGGTTCGGGAGGGTGGGGGAAGACTTACATTGTGAATGTAGAAGAAAAAGAAAATACTTGATCTGGTCAAGTGCAGCAGTGGTCTCATTTGGATCATTACAGTGGAAAGTCTCTAGGTAGATGTTAGTTGATGGTTGCTGACTGGTTCAGCTTAAGTTTCCTTTTATTTACACTGAGTCAAATTTTGGTTTGTTTAAGGGGGAACTGAGTGCCCTGCACTGGAGCCATCCTAAACCTCATGGCCACCTGTTTATCTGATTATTTTTTTCACAGAGAAGACCCTTTTAAAAATATCCGTTGCCCTGCCTCGAGTGCAGTGGTATGATCAAGGCTCACTACAGTCTCAACCGTCCAGGCTCAGGTGATCGTCCCACCTGAGTGCTCCCCACCTTCAGTAACTGGGACTACAGGCATGTGCCACCACACCACCATGCTCAGCTAATTATGTATCTGTATTTGTTTTAGAGGTGGGGTTTCCCTCAGTTACTTAGGCTTGTTTCAAAGTCCTGGGCTCAAATAATCTGCCTGCATTGGCCTCCCCAATTGCCAGAATTACAGGCCATCTAAATCTTTTATCTCAGATTTGCCTTGTGAGAAAAGGAGGGATGATTTTTCTGACATGATGAAGGAGAGAAAGATGAGGTGAGTGCATTCTGTGCATATTAATTTCTCAGGGGGTGGGAAGATGATCGGCTGTTACCTAATGGGATATCTTTTCTCCTTAACTGATTTGGCAAGATATCAGAAGAGAGAAGTTGAATAAAGGAAGAACATAGAAAAGATTGGTCAAAATGTTCGAAGAACATAGAAAAAATGATGTGGTTGGAGACACAAACCTTTTATTGATTTTTGGAAAATTTAGGGCCAATTTGTTGTGTAAGAAATTTGAATTTGTGATGATACCTGTGACCGTTTTTTGATATTTTTGTGGTTCAGCTGAGTGGTGTCACTGAGCCAACACAAAGTGGGGCTCATCCAGGGATGAGATTTTGCCAGAGAAAGGACGAGCAGCAAGTCAGGGAGCTTAAGGCAATTATTAGAAAGTGACTGTCTAAAATTGCATAGGTGGAAAGAGACAGATTGGATTTTTGTGTTTGGTATTTGGGGGAAGAGGTGTGGTGGTATGTACGTGAGATGTGTTGTTCATTCTCCTAAGATAGAAAATGGGGGGATTAATGGACCGTAGTTCTGGACAAGGTGGAAAACTCTGAAAGTGGAAGTACTGGGGCAAGTTCTCTGACAGGCCGGGATGGTGTAGTCAGTCCCTTAACCTGGAAATCAGTAGAATGTTAGCATCCAGACTCAAACTTTGTAAAAAACAGGTGGAGAAAAGGAAGTCCCTCACAGTAACCGTCACCATAATCAAGACAGAATGTTTCCAGAAGAAATGGAGTTATCTGCTTTCAGCCCCAGGTGGTAGCTGTTCTGTCCTGATGATATGTGATAATAATTTGTGATCCTCATGTCTTAAAATGGAGTCACTCATCTCCAGTAGAATTAAGTCTACAGTGAAGTTGTCCCCTCATCCCCAAAGAGATAAACACAGATGAATGGGCTGAGTTGATATTTATTGCTGCCTGAGATCATGAGAGACCTGAAGTGAACTGATAGGAAGTGAAAAGTGGCTGAGAACAAGAGAATGGACCCATCTGCAGAGGATCATAAAACCAGCAGAGACAAGATCTTGTCTAAGATGTTTTCAGAAGCTTTGTCCATGAGAACTGCAAGGACTTCTCCAGACCTGGTGGCTGCTGCTATGATCTCTGCCCCAAAGGAACATCTGACCAGCATCCAAAGGGCTTCTGGACCCACTGGATTCTTCTGGAGGTACATTGGTCTCTTGAGCCATCACTGTGGTTTTTTATTTACTTTATTCCTGCCTGTGTGTAGAATGATAATTGCCTAATTGATAGTGTGAATGAATACCTCTTGACAAATGTAAATCTGAGTATATATAATTGGCTGCCATGTTACTGTGAAACCTCACAGCTTCAGTCAGTGTCAGCACAGCTAGGCAGCTTGTACCCAATGCTTATATCAGTGGGCATCGTCTACAGGCACCTAATGACTCAGGTACTTTAACAGTCACTGATGAGTGTATCTCCAAGGAATAGTCCAACAACATGGCTAGCCTGACAGACGGTAACTATATGTCTAATCCAGGGTCATACTGATTGGACATCTGCCAACCAGAGGTCATTCCCCCTGCCTGCCATTGAGCAGTTCAGAAGTGACTGGTGTGAGCAGACATGAGTGCACTTGTTCAAGTCACTCTTTGCCTTTTCCAAGGGCATCATACTTAGGATCTAGGTGATTGTGCCTTACTGGAGTCCTACACATTTCACTTGCAAATTATATTTGAAAATTAGAGTAAATTACTATTTGCTAGTCATTCACAAAACAGTTTTTAAAATTACAATTCCAGAACCCACATTAACATCCAGTGACCCATAGAAAGCAATAGAGAAGTGTATTAAATGTTCTGGCAACTATGTTGCTAGTCATTCACAAAACAGTTTTTAAAATTGCAATTCCAGAACCCATATTAACACCCAGTGATCCATAGAAAGCAATAGAAAAAGGTATTAAGAAAAATGTTCTGGCAGAGTCTGGCACTGGCCTGGTTACCCAACCTCTGGCATTGGTCACATTAACTCAGAGTTAAGAAAAATAGAAAGTCCCAGCCTTGTTACTCAAGACGTTAGGAACTATCAATTGATGTAGATAGATAAAGAATTTTAGCTAAAAAAAATTACAGTGTCATCCTGAAAAATATGTACCTCTTCCAGAGAACCCAGGAGGTTATGATGACCCCTGGAAAGCCCAACCAGCAATAACAGTGAAAGTTACATAGGTACATGAGTGCAGAAATACAGTCTCTACTGAAAATAAGTTTTATACTCGGCAAGAATTAACAGGATATACGTAGAACTTTTGCTCATGAAGTAAAATCAGATATACAAATTACATATGGTTTAGGGGTTAATGATGGTGAATTCATTATGCTTACAGGAGGCAAAGGAGGACCAATGACTGGAATAGCCAAGAACTCCAGGATTCATGATGAACTAATTGCTAGAGCAAAAATATCCAAGATCTTCCTGACTTATGATGGGGAAGGGGTAACAGAAGTTGGATGAGACAATACCCAAACATGATTGCCAGGTTTACCTAAACTGAACAATAGAAGATTGTAGATGATGCCATTAAGATTACTCAAGAATATGGAAGATTATTATTCACTTCTGATGGGACCTTGTAAGTCACCTGAAAAAAATTCACATGAAAAACAAGTTTTACAAACTGTCACGTTATGCTACAATATTTACATAATATACGGTACAACCCTGATCTCTTGGCTGTCATAAAATGTTTCTTACCTCTAAACCAAAGTTTCATTTTATAATTTAATTTTTTTCATTTTTCCTGTCCTCTTAGCTTAAGAAAAGATCATTGCAGGCCGGGCGCGGTGGCTCACGCCTGTAATCCCAGAATTCTGTGAGGCTGAGGCAGGTGGATCACTCGAGGTCAAGAGTTCGAGACCAGCCCAACCAACATGATGAAACCCTGTCTCTACTAAAAATACCAGAACTATCTGGGTGTGGTGGCAGATGCCTGTAATCCCAGCTACTGGGGAGGTTGAGGCAGGAGAATCGCTTGAACCCAGGAGGTGGAGGTTCCAGTGAGCCAAGATAGTGCCATTGCACTCCAGCATGGGTGATAGAGTGAAACTCCATCTCAAAAAAACAACAACAACAACAACAAAAAAGAAAAGATCATTGCAAACTTTTTGTGTGTTTTTCATATTTGCTTGCAGAGGTTTGTAACATTTTATTGTGATTATTCGTGCTTTAAGCTGAAACTTTTCTAATCTTTAGCAATTATGAAATAGCATGCTATTTCCTTTCCATATTCAATTGTATGTTCTGTATTTATTACCCTAGCTATAGGATTCTGTCTTTTGAACCTCCCCTGTAGTTAGGTATGGCCATGTCACTAAATTTTAAGCCAATAATTTGTAAGCAGTGTGCTATGAGTACCTTCTAAAAAACTTTCCTTCTTCTTTTCTCCCTCATTTTCTTTTTTTTTTTTTTTTTTTTTTGAGACGGAGTTTCGCTCTTGTTACCCAGGCTGGAGTGCAATGGCGCGATCTCGGCTCACCGCAACCTCTGCCTCCTGGGTTCAGGCAATTCTCCTGCCTCAGCCTCCTGAGCGGCTGGGATTACAGGCACGCGCCACCATGCCCAGCTAATTTTTTGGTATTTTTAGCAGAGACAGGGTTTCACCATGTTGACCAGGATGGTCTCAATCTCTCGACCTCATGATCCACCCGCCTTGGCCTCCCAAAGTGCTGGGATTACAGGCTTGAGCCACCGCGCCCGGCTTCATTTTCATTACAGTAGTCTGGAGTGAAGATCCAATAGCTGGAGATCAATAGTCATCCTACATAATGCAGTCAGGAGTGACGGGCAACATGGTCTGTTAACTCCCTGACTGGGAGACAAATTCACAAGACTAAGAACCTTACGTTAGTTCAAGCAATATCCCAGCACTTACACACAGTGTGCAGCATGTTTGCTGAGGGCTCAGGTATTAAATGGCTATTGAATGGATAGATGTATTAATTGGTTTACTCTGGAGTCATAAGTAAACAAGGTCTGAGCTCATTTCACAGAATCAAACTCCCTATTAATTCAAATCACACTAATCTAATTTGTTTCTCTTTGCTCTCTCAGACTTGCCAATGTCATGGACGGATAGGAATTTTTCTTAGTTTACTTCAATAGTGCTTTAAATCAAAATGTTTTAAAGTCTGTTTTTATAACAGTGCTTCCCAGTAATTTCTTGTTTAGAAAGTTCAGAATTCTTCCATTTTTAAAGTCATGGATATCTTTTTGATTGTGTCTGTTGTTAAGTGCAGGAACTATTTTGTAACTTTAAATAGACGTCATCTCAAGTCTACAAGAATTATCCAAAATGGGACCTAAAGACCTTTCTAGGGTTTCAGACACTATTAATGCAGATTGTAGTCTGAGGATTGTACTTGACATTGGTTACAGAAACTGAACTTTCTTTTTTTTTTTTTTTTTTTTTTTGAGACAGAGTTTCGCTCTTGTTACCCGGGCTGGAGTGCAATGGCGCGATCTCTGCTCACCGCAACCTCCGCCTCCTGGGTTCAGGCAATTCTCCTGCCTCAACCTCCTGAGTAGCTGGGATTACAGGCACACGCCACCATGCCCAGCTAATTTTTTGTATTTTTAGTAGAGACGGGGTTTCACTATGTTGACCGGGATGGTCTCGATCTCTTGACCTCGTGATCCACCCGCCTCGGCCTCCCAAAGTGCTGGGATTACAGGCTTGAGCCACCGTGCCCGGCAAAACTGAACTTTCTTGAATTCTTTTTCCTTCCACTGTGGTTTCTTGCATTTCAGCATATCACCTATCTTTGTCCTCAAGCTTCACTGAAATATTTTCAATGGAATTAAATTAAAGAGGAATCATCCCTCCCATGTTTTTGAAATGACCCTTTGCTTCCTATAATAAATGATTCTTCTGATCCTTTTTGTAATTACTTATGTTAGAGTTTGTAAATATTCATACATTTTACAATTGCATATAATTTTCTTCTTAATAAATTTTTCCTCTTTCCCTAAAGTTGTTGTTATTTCTCTTAACTCTTTATGGGAAAAATTAAGCCCATCTTTCACTTTCTGGATATCCTTATTTATAATTGAACTCTGTGATTTTTGGTCAAATTGCATTTCAAGTTACCCACTTTTAGGGAAGCTATTAGTGTATCAGGTTTTTTTTTTTTTTGAAAAGTCTGTTAATATAAAGGTCATCAAAAGATCTCTTCCTAAACGTTTCCTCTACCAGAAATATCTCTGGAGTCACATGGCCATTTTTCCCTTCTTGCTTTTGTAGGACTCCAAAGCTAATCTCTTCTCGATTTAGATTGCATGCATCTGTGCCTTTTGGGGGCCCTTGTGCATTCATTCTTCCTTCTCTTCTAACCTCAAAAATGTGTTTTCTCTGTTGGCTCTTCCCCTTTAACATAGAAGTATACTCATGGTTTTGTTGAATCTTGAAATAAAAGGCTTTCTGTAGCACATATCTCCATTTAACTACTACTACATCTCTCTTCTCAGCCAAATACATGGGAAGAGATCTGCTTAGTTTGTACCATTGTTTTCTCACCTTCAGTTCACTGCTTTACCCACTGCCTGACATGTAGCTCACTCTCACACATGCACAAGCCCAATCACTAAGTTGCCATGGCTGATTTGTAGCTTTCATGCCCTCCTAGCAAAATTTGACTCTGTGCATTGGGATATTACTTACTGAGTAGCTATTGACCAGGCACTGTGCTAGGTGCTGCTGTTACAGAAATGAAGTCAGACATCATCTCCTTTCTAATGACTCACAGGAGCAGCCATTCCTGATTCCTAAGCAGGTCTCTTGACTCCCAGTGCTCACTTTTGCAAGCTTTACTTAATACCATGTAAATCACTCTATTCTCCAGGTCTTCTTTCTTTCCAATTCTCCTTACTATACACAACTTCTCAAGGCAATCACTTCCATACCTGTGGCTTCAGTTGCATCCTCCATTCTCTGAGGACAATAGAATTTTAAATTTAAAATGTTAGATTTATTTTATGTAAGATTCCTCGTTTGCTATAACCATAGATTCAGAGTTACTCCATGAAAGTAATAAATAAAAAATGGTGATATTCTTAACATGTAAATTTTAGGAAATTTCCCCAGTTACTCTTAATGGTTGGATTTAGTATTTGTGCTATTTTTGAAAACATATGTTTGGATGTCACAAATGGACTTAGCCTACAGTGATTTATATTCAACTTTGATCAGAGAGTTCCATTTTAATGTGACACTGAGCGTAAAAAACTGTCTTTTCCTCCTTAGCAATTTCTCTTCCTACATTCTCTGACAGGAGAAAGGTACAACTCTGTACCCAGTCTTCCCCAGCAGAGCCCGAGCAGCCCTGTTTTTCCCTCTACTTCCCTGCTTTCACATCTCATGACCAAGTACTTCCTATTCTGTCTCCCCAATAATCACAAAATTTTTTCTTCCACTTTTGTCACTGCCACTGCCTTTAGCATCAGTCTTCCTTTAGATAGTCTCTTAATTGGTCTGTTGCTTCCTTCAGTCCTTCCTTATTATACAGACCACTGCACACACATCTGACAGAGACTCCTCACCTTTGTATGGTTCAATGACTCAAATTTTCAGAATAAAATTAAAACTACCCCAGCATCCAATTTGGGGCCGAATAGAGGTGGGTTTGTATCTCAAGTTCATACACTGTTGAGTAATGTGGTCTCACAAAACTGAACTTCTTAATAAGCCTTTGTTTATCTGCCTACCCTCATTGAGATTGGGACTGTTTCACACATACAGTGTCTGGCATGTAGAAGGGACTTCATCAATGCTGAATGAACAGGAGGCATTTTAAAATTCACATCAAAAAAATATATCAGTCCATAATGTCACCTCCCCCCACAAGCTTGACTTCTGCCTGTACTTTCTGATATGGTTTGGTCATGTCCCCACCCAAATCTCATCTTGAATTGTAATTCTCATAATCCCCACATGTTGTGGGAGGAACCCAGTGGGAGATAATTGGATCATGGGGGTAGTTTCCTCCATGCTGTTCTTGTGACAGTGAGTGAGTTCTCATGAGATCTGATGGCTTTATATGTGTTTGACAGTTGCTTCTTCACATGCTCACACTCTGGCCTGCCGCCATGTAAGAAGTAACCACTTCCCCTTCTGCTGTAATTGTAAGTCTCCTTAGGCCTCCACAGCCATGTGGAATGTGAGTCAGTTAAACTTCTTTCGTTTATAAATTACCCAACCTCAGCTATTTCTTGATAGCAGTACGAAAATGGAATAATGCATTTTCTGATAATCACGCTTGAGGAATTGGGGAATTCATAGTACCTGAGATCAAATACTGGCCCCAGCCTGGGAAGTCATGTGACCTTGGGGAGATAACTTACCTTCTCCATCTTAATGTCTTCTCTAAAACTGGTGAGATTGTTTCTGAGGGCTAAATGAGCATAACCCACTTGGAACACTATCAGGCACATACTGCTTGCTAGGTGTTCAGTATTCATTTTTATTGAGTTAGGACTGTGGTAACCCACTTTACGGCTCTTGATTTTGTATAACAAAGTCATGCTTAGTGCTTTGTTAGTAAAAGAGAGAAAATCTGAAAGTCCCTGCCATCAAAGGAAGAAATGGGAGAAAAGGAAGTTGGTAAGTTTCAGCCCTTTAGAGCTTGTGGGACAAGTTAGGTTTCTATTTTATGGAGAAGGAGGTGGAGGCAGGATGGGTTCCAAGGTGTCATTCAAGACACACAGCCGTTGTAACTCTTCAGTGAGAGTAGAGCTAGGGCCCCAGGGATTGCTGTGGTCAAGTTGCAGACGAAAACCACCACTCATTGGAAGACAGGAGAGCAATGTTTCAGGTGTATCTACATTGAGTCAGCAAATAAAAGTTCAGCTTGGTTGCTAATGGGACCCACTCTGCTAACTGCCACTTTGTATAGAACTCCTAGAGGAAGATGGCTTCCAGTAATGAACCGCCCTGTTTTTAGGACTAAAAAGCTCAGGAAGCTGGTGGGGGATGAGTGAAAACCTTAGTTCCACTGGCACTGAAGGAGGGGCCAGGAGAGCAGTGGCATCATAAGGCACAGGGTGGGGCAGCCCGGGCAGTGGGGGAGGGGTGGCAGCCAGGATGGGGCATTGTGAGGTGTGGGGCGGGGCATTGTGAGTCACGTGCCTGGGCTTCCACCTGGGCCAGTGGGCTTCAGTCTGTAGTGACTGCAGAAGGAGGAGCAGCTCCTTTTGTGCTCTCTTCAGGTAGTAGTTGTATCTCTCAGCGCTTGTTGGGTTCCCAACCTATTAACCAGTTGTTTTTGACCCTCCCAGACAAGTCAACTCAGGAGAGGCGGCAGGGTGCGGGCCTTGGCCCGAGCCCCGGCTGGGGCCGGGCTGTGGATTGGCCAGGTGAGCCGCCGGCAAGACCATCTCTGAAAGTGCGGCATAGCCTCGGCCTAGGGCAGCAGGAGTGCCTGGCCAACACTGTGAGCGGAGGCACAGGTGGCAGCAGACAGGAGTAGAGGCGCCCCATGGGGAACATACTGAGCTGCTGTGTGTGCCCCAAGGTCTGCCAAGAGTCAGACCAGGATGAGGGGTCAGGGTGTCCTCCTGAGTCTAAAATCTGTGAGGCAGCAGCTGAGAACACCGCAGCAGCTGAGGACACCACAGCAGCTGAGGACACCACAGCAGCTGAGGACACCACAGCAGCTGAGGACACGGCAGCTGAGGACACCACAGCAGCTGAGGACACCACAGCAGCTGAGGACCCGACAGCAGCTGAGGACACCACAGCAGCTGAGGACACCACAGCAGCAGCGCCCACGGCTGCTGCCATAGAAACTGCCGAGTTGACTGTTGAAGCTGGTGAGGACCGTCCTGTGCATGACATCTGTGATGGGGAGATGCCTGAAGGTAAGGAGGTGATGGTGCCATCTGCCCTGGCCACCCCTCTGGGTGCTGGTGTCTTCAGGGTCCCCTGGGTGTCATCCCCTACCTCAGGCTCCTTTTTGCCTGTAGCCAGCTTTTCCAGGGCTGGTCAGAAACAAAGGCTGGCTCTGCCTTACGTTCCTTTTTCCACCGCTTAGTCTTTCTCCACGGAGTCCAGTCAATTTCTTTTCTCCTCCCTTCCCAAACACCCAGTTCTTGCTCCCTCATCTCATTGTCTCAGGCTGGCCTGGGACCATTTATTTATGTCTCTTCTTGTCTGTAGCTCTGTTCATTATTCTGTGGGATTTTGTTGAGGCTTTTTTGGAATATTCTCTTCCTTTTTTCAATAAAAACTCAAATACCCCAACTTTCCAGTACCCATCTCATTCTTTTTTTGTATCTATCCAGATGGTACCTAAGTGAAGGTACCAGGTAAGTGCCTAATTATGTCCTTTGTTAAAGTAGCTAAATCTCAGGACAATTCATACTGAAATATTTGGGGATTTCTTCTTTGAAATCAGAGTGAAGGTTTCCATGGGAGAGATGATAGGATGTTTTTTTTTTTGTTTTGTTTGTTTTTGTTTTTTTTTTTTTTTTTTGAGACGGAGTTTCGCTCTTGTTACCCAGGCTGGAGTGCAATGGCTCAATCTCGGCTCACTGCAACCTCTGCCTCCTAGGTTCAGGCAATTCTCCTGCCTCAGCCTCCTGAATAGCTGGGATTAGAGGCATGTGCCACCATGCCCAGCTAATTTTTTTTGTATTTTTAGTAGAGATGGGGTTTCACCATGCTGACCAGGATGGTCTCGATCTCTTGACCTTGTGATCCACCCACCTCAGCCTCCCAAAGTGCTGGGATTACAGGCTTGAGCCACCACGCCCAGCTGATAGGATGTTCTTAATGGCTTGCTTTAAGTCACTAAATTTTTTAATTAGCTGAATTTTTCATGTGGCCTAATTTTTGTGTCCTTTTGTACATGAGTATTATTTCACTCCTATGTAATAAAAACAGAACGTCAACTAGGTCAAAAAAAAAAATCCAAGTTTTTACATTTTATTTTATGAGATTTATCTTACCAGAGAGTTTAAATTATAAATTGTTGAAATTAATTTTTTAATGGAATTTTCTCTGATTGTACATAGTAGTCAGTAAGATGTTAACAACAACTTTTATTTTATATTATTTGTGTCAGAAGTGACCGGTTTTTTTTTCTTTCATTCTTAGCACAAGAAAGAGGAGAAAACAGCCGTACAATCCTTGTAAGTAAATAGTCAAAAAGTTGAGAAATTGATAGTTTGATGTAAAACTATGTGTCTCTTGATTCCTTTAAAGTATAATCGGGACCCAGTGGTGATAGGATGGACCTCGTTTCATGGATTTTCTGAATCTCTTCTACTTTCGTATCAAATTTATCCCAAAAAGTCTTCAGCTTAGTGTGCCTACCTTTTAAGAATTGCTGACACTCAAGTTAAATTTCAGTAGTTGCTTGTGGTATAAAGATCTGCTTTAAATATTTAATCTTATTTTTAATGAAATAACAAAAATAGAAGAGCTCAGTTAATTGTCAGTGTGGTCTATTGACCCTCTGTCACAGCAGGTGAAAACATATCTTCCTTGCTAACCATGACCTTATTTTTCTCCCTCTGTTTCTTTCAATTGTAGCACACTTTTTAATTCAATCAGTAATATTGACATGATTATGACTATCCAAATACTATTCACTGCTGAGTTATATGTTGTTTTCACTGTGTCTCTTCCTTACATATTCCTTCATCCTTTCTCTGAAACAGTTCTGAAATCTGAGCACTTCTGCACTTCTTCTGGATCATCTTTTTTTTCCCTAGCCTATGTTGGTTTATCCAGCCAAATGCAATAAGTAGCCTCTGGATGGTCTGTCACTTTATTGAAAAATAATAATTATTGTTAAATTATATTTTACATGTAATTTACATTTCACATCCATTATTTTTTAGCATGAAGCTAATTTTCTGACTATATTCATTTGCCTGTTTTCTAACAGCTGATCCCCGCCCCGAAGTGTTGTAGCATTTATCACATGCCTTTCAAAGAAATTTTCCATCTGCTAAAACATATCTGTTCCTCTTTGTTTTTGGCGGGTGGTGGGCAGCCTTTCTTTATCCTTTTGTCATCCTAGTTCAGTATAGAGAGGCTTTCCCTAGATATGCTTGATGTCTTAGTCTATCTGTGCTATCTCTTTAAAGTCTTTTGGGATCTCACATAACTGCTGCCTTGTGTGGGATCGCCTGAGTCCTAGATTCTGTGTTTCCTTCTGTCCTGTTATCCTCTCTAGCTGTACTTAAGCACACTTTCCTGGGCAGAGATGTTTAGAGATCTGAGCAGTCTTAAAATTCTTCTTCCTTGATACAGAGTAAACTTCTAGGTTGAATCTAAATTTTATGGTTCCGAAGATGTTCTGCAATTGTGCTCTCATCACAGTGTTGTTTTTGAATCTATTGCCATTGCGTGACACGTTATTTATAACCGCGTTTTATGTATTTTTGGGAGCTTTTTCGGATTTTCTGTCTCTGAGATTCTGAAATTTCATAACAGCTTGGTGTTGGATCTTTTCATTTTACTGAGGCTACTAAGTCTGCAGACTCTCTCTTTTTGAGAATGTTTTTTATTTTCTCTGTTCCTTCTTTCCAATAGTTGTGTTACTCAGGCGCTAGGCTGCTTAGACCAGTAGACCTGCTTTGGTTTCCAAATTTTTCCCTTCAATTTTTTTCAGTTGTCCTTTTATTCTACATCTGGGATATGCTATGAGTTTATCCTCTATTATATCTATTGAATTTTATATATTTTTTAGAGTGTTTTAACATTTTAAAAAGTTTTGCTCCTGATTTTGACCGGTCCCATGAATTTTGTGTGTGTTGTTTCAATCTCTGTTGTTGGAGGCTTTTCTCCAATGTGTGGTGGTCCCTGGCTGGCTTGGTTGATTTGGAAGCAGGACTCTGTTAACTGATGACACTCAGTGTGAGGTTGTGGAAGCAACTAGCTTTTCATTTGGGAAACCTCAGTGTATTATCTGGGGATCTTTATTCAAGACAGTTTAGTTTCTTGAGAATGTTCTCCCAAGTTTCTGCCTGCCTACTTGCTTTCCAAAAGCAGAATTAGGGAAGATAGGTTGGAGTTCCATTTTTGGTGTATAGTTTTCTTTATATTTCAGGTTTAACCTCTGGTAGTTGGGAGCCAGAAATTCTCAGGTTTGGTATATCCAGGGAACATACATCTAAGTTTTTTATCAGATGGGAGAACAGGTAGATGTGAGTCTCTAACCACAGATTTTCAACTGACTTTGGTGGCTTTGTTTTACATTTTGCACTACTTTTTTTTTTTTAATAAAGTTTTATTTTTCCAAATGTACAGTTGGTTGGACCTATTCATGCGTCTTTACCAGCAGCTGGAGCATCTCCACCCTTGGTATTTCCAGTGTAAATTACTTGAACTCTGTGCTTTGAAACCAGTTTGATAAGTCCCTGTCACAATGGCTGGAGTGCAGCGGTGTGATCATGGTTCACTGACACCTCCATCTCCTGGGTTCAAGGAATTCCTGTGCCTCAGCATCCTGAGTAGCCTTGCTAAGGGGCTCCTGAAGGGCTGCCCTGGCAAGGGAACCTCGAACCTTCAGTCTCTTAGAGACCACAGCTGGTGTTATAAGTTTATAGCTGGGAACTTCCTTACACAGTTTGTCATAGGTAGCTTGGTCAAACAAGATTAAGTTATTGAGCTAGTCCTGAACTTTGCCTTTGGACCACTTCTTTTTGGCCTTGCCCCCCGATTTGTTCACTGGGTCTTTGTCTTTCTTGACCGACTTTCTAGCATCTTTCTTCTTTTTGTCGTCCTTGGGCGGCATTGTGAAGCTCGGAGAGCAGCGGCCAACACTACAACTGTGCTAGGATGTCGGACCTGCACTACTTTTTAAAGTGCTATTTGCCTCTAAGTTCAAGCCCACCTTTAGTTCTGCAAGATAAACTGCTC